CTAAGGGAGTTGATGCGGGTCCCCCCACCTTCAGGCAAAGGTTACCTCGCTGAATATTTTGATTATCTATAATATTTCCCCCCTCCCATGTGGGCTCTGGGGCTGCCGGACGGACTGGCGGCTGCGGCCCCCGGGATTTGCCATGCCGTCACCCATACCCCGGGCAGACCCGGTCCCCTCTGTGCCCCCGCTCCCGCCGGGGGCTGGGAGCTCCCCCGGTGCCTCCCGCCGCAGTATTCGATGGGTCCCGATCCAGCCCGCGACCAGCGCCTTCCCGCCCAGCCTCAGCCAGCACATCGGGATTATAAACTAGAAATCCGTTTTTCTGTTCATTCGCACTTGGTGTGCGCTGGAAATCTACAGGGAAGCGGGAGAATTTTGGTCGAATCCTTCGATTTTCGTGTCCCCGTCCCCCATCAGTCCCGTCCCGTTCCCCCCTCCCCGGAGGCGGAATTTGCGGGGTGCGGCGGAGCAGGGCCGGAGCTGCTGCTGTTCCCCAGGTCCTCCGAATATGAACAACGATAAAAAGACATACTAACGGCATCCATCTTACCGGGAAGCCGTGCGCATAACGCAGAAAAGGCTCGACTAGGAATTATTAGTATGATAAGTGCCCCGCCGTGGGGAGTACTTAAAGATACCCCCCCCCCATGAGAATCACCTGGGTGTGATTTGAACGTCTGTACTAGAGGCTGTTAATTGGGACATTTCTTTTGCTAATTATTTCGGTTCATTGATGGAAGCTTTATTTCCTCGGTAGGCGGTTTCGTTTTAAAAATCCCAACTCTCCTGTTCTGGGTATAAAATCCCCGTCGAAACATTTCTTCTTTTTCGTGGTATTAGACTTCCTATGCGTTTTCACGTTTGCAATTAATTTCCCACTTATTAATCCATTTCTTTATTGGTTGGGGGGGTGGTGTGGGTGTTTACTTTGTTTTGATGTTTTGGGTTTTTGGTTTGGGTTTTTGGTTTTGGGTTTTTTTGTTGGTTTGGTTTTGGCTTTTTTTTTTTTTTTTTTAAATACGACCCTTTACCATTTCTAACTACGGCAACCTTCTGCGAGTCCCGGGGATGAGTTATTGCGAGTATTAATGGGTGAAAATAGATAATCGTAAACCAATTATTTGGAAAAATAATAAGGAAACGGGTCGCGAGAAAGTGAGAGAGAGGAAGGAAAGAAAAAGGGAAAAAGAAAGAAAAGGAAAGAGAGAGAGCAAGAAGGAAAGAAACAAGGAAGGAAAGAAGACAAGAAAACGAATGAAGAAGGAAAGATGACCTGCTGTTAATTTAGTATATTTTTCTAGGTGTTTTAAGTGACTGAGTTTTCTGACTTGCTAATCTTCAAGCTGGCTCTGCCGAAAGGCCCACAGACTTTCTTTAAACATTTGCGGGTTTTGGTTTTGCATGTTTTTCTTTTTTTTTCTTTTTTTTCCCTTAAAATCTTTTTTCCTTTTTAACAATTTAATTTAATTCGGATCAGTTTTCTGGTTCCGTTACTTATCTGGGACAAACCAAATATTGGATTATCTGGCAAAACGCTCCACCCAGCCCCAAGCAGGGGGGGGTGGTGGAGGAAGGCCCACTGCCCGCGAGGAAGTGGGGAGAGGCAGCGGGAAGGAAAGGGACAGAGAGAGTGAAAGAAAGCAGAGAGCAGGAAATAAATAAATACGGAGATAGAAATAAAAGACAAACTCAGCCAGAAAATTTCGTCCTCCAATCCAGACCGTTTCCAATGCACAGCCATGATTTTCCCAGAAAATTCTCCCTGCTTATCCCAATGTCCACAGCGGCCCCAGGACACTTTGCACCCCTCCCCACCCCAAAGGCCCATGTGTGGACAGTGAGGGGGGATTCACAGGGCCTGGCCCAGCCTTGGGCTGTGCTGGGGAGAAACTGAACAGGAGTTTACTTACAGCTGGCAGGTTGTGCAGATGCGCTTCCCTTCCCCATTCCCTTCCCGGCACTGGTGGGACATGTTCTTGGTGTGGCTGGGAGGGGTCTGGGTCACCTCCCCAGGCAGATGCTGACCCCTGGCAATGGCAGAGGGGCTTTGGCATCACCACAGTCCCTATTGCTCTGGAGACTGATCCCCACTTTCCTCTCTGTTTCCCCTGAAGAGGTCTGATACATGGAGTCTGGCAGCCCCTTTCAGAAGGGGTGGCTTTCCTGGAGACAGCTCGATGGGGGGGCCAGAGGGACAGAGCCACTCTTGGGGGGCAGTTGGAGGACGGTCCATGTGCATGCAAATGTGGGGTGTACCTGGCACCAGCGACGTGCTTTGGAGTCAATACACTGCCTTGTTGTTGTCCTTTATTCCCTCCTCCTCTACCCTTCTTACAGCCGTGGACAGAAAACCTACCAGCCCTGTGGGGAAGTCTCCAGACCCTCTAAATACCATCCACGGACTCTCTATCCCAGCATCCTCTTCCTAGAGCCACGGAGTAGCACTCTAGGGACAGTGACTCTTGGAATAAGCACCTGCAAGCTGTAAACGAAGCCCAAAGTGCCACCAACCTGTACCCAAAGTACTACCCGCCTCCGTCAGGTGCCTTTGGGGACGTGGAGACAGCCTGGTGACAATCTCCCATGGCAAATCGCTGCGCTGGGGTGTTCGCTCATACTGCCCAGAGGGACACTGTACATTCATTGGATTGGAAAGGGGTGACAGAAGAGACTCAGTCTTCCTTCTTTATTTTGTCTTTTTTTTTTTTTCCCCTCCCCATTGCTTTCAGTTTTTCTTTCTCCTCCTCATGTCCCTGAAGACCACTGGATGCAGGGCAGCAAATACCTCTGTCCCCAGCCATCACTTGGAGTGTCCCTGGCTCTGTTCCAGCCCAAGAGAGCCTGTTTCCTCCAGAGAATGGTTTCTGGCTTCCCCAGGCTGCGGCCAGACAAGCTTCACGATGAAACCCTCTCTGTCCCAGCCTTCCAGTGCCTCTGCCCCGGAGTGCAAATGGACCAACATGCCACAATGTTTTACGATATATTTTTATAATAACAAACCTTAATAAAAAGTGACTACCGTGGGCACATGCCACTGACCTCCTTCCCTCAGGATCTGTCTGAGCACCATGGCTTCTGCTGGTGTCCCCCAGCCTCAGGCAGCATCTGCGGGTTGCCTGTGAGCAGCTGAGAGGTGGGATCTCAGGGGCACTTGGCTGGGAGGATTTGCTCTGTGTCAGGTCTGGATTCGTGCACCCACCCACCCAGGGGGGGCCTGGTGTTGCTGCAAGCGCATTGCAGCCCTGCTCCCCGTGCCTAGCTGTGCATGCAGATTCACGGTTTCCCTCCATCAGGGGGGCCTATGGCCCCACGGGATGACTCCTGATGTTACAGACCAGCTCTGGACACAAGCAGGGAGGTGGACAGACACCCCCCAGCCCTGGGCTGTCTCCTACTCGCTTCACCTGGCCATGGGTGAGTGGGGGGCTGGCAGCAGGGCTGCCCCTCTCAGCCCACCCACCGGCGTTTGTTATCCCCCTCCTGTCCAGCCGTCTGGGGCGTGTTGAGGATGGGCTCCGCTGGGCTTTTGCATTCCCTGCCTCCACCAGCCGCTGCCATTGGCTTTAGTCCCTTCATTGTCTGGAGAAGGGGAAGGTCCTACAGCTGGGCAGGGAGGAAATATCCTGGCAGGAGAATACACGCCTGGGTTTTTGTAGAGAGTGTGTCTTTGTGGGAGGGAGTGAGTGAGAAGGATGCCAAATTTGACATCCCACCCCAGGAAATTATTTTGCCTTCAACCTCGGGGTGGCAAAGTTCAGTTTTGCCTCTGCTGTTGCAAAGCCTCTAGCTAGAGCTGGTCTTTGCATCTGACTACAAAGCACAGGAGAGAAAAGAGGAAATTTTAAGTAGGCAAGATCTGCCACCAAGCTGCCACTGACTACATGTTAAAGGATGCGAGGACAGACGAGTCACCTGAAACCGATGACTAACACCTCTGGCTAGTCTCCTGCCAGGTTTATCCATTTAAAGTTACATTTTAGTATGTGGCAGAGCAGCTTTGGAAAAGATGACTGACAGCAACTCTCTTAAAGCTGGAACACAGCACACATGGCCTTTCTGTCTGCCCCAACACCACAGCAGCCAGGGAAATACAACCCCTCCCAGGGAAGAGGGGAGCATGGGGACAGCCCAAACCCTGCCTTTCTCAGCACTCTGCTGGTCTGGAGGTCAGAGGAGCCCTTCACATCCCCAGCACTGAAACTTCACTGCTCATGAGCATGAAGAAACTTGTCTATCCTCTGTATAGGGCTCCCCTAAAGCTCTTCTGCTGGGGAGCTGGGAGAAGCTGGTTCCCCATGTTGAGCTCCTGCACTGTGGAGGGGTCTAGGTAAATGGGAATGCCCACCAACAAGGTGGCAGCCCATTGTAAAAAGGTGGAAATAGCCTGAGAATACTATGCTGTGTCCCATAGGCAGCTGTTCTGTTCTGCCAACCACATCTAGCCCTGCAGCATCTTCTGGTTCCTAAAGCCCTTCAGATGCTTCAGGGCTGGATGCACCCCAAACCCACCCGCCTCCCAGTGCCCCATGTTCATGCTGGTACTTGTTGTTAGCTGGGTTTGCAGCACCCTGCTCTGTGGGGACCCAGCTGTGACCCCTCTTCTCCCCCACCCCATGTGGGATGTGACAGCACTCCTGCACCCCACAGAGACAGGACCAGGGCTCTGATGGATATCTGGGATGAGTGAGACATGAGGGCTGGAGTCAGACCGAGATGTAGCATAGAGTCTGATCCTTTTAATTAGTGTCCTGCTGGGATGGTGCATGAGTGCCTGCTTTATTCCCTTCCAAAGCTGTCATGAACCTGCCAAAACCCCTGAACAACAACTTGATGCTTAGCATCCGCCACAGCCCCGTGGCAAAGACATCCTTTCACAAGCGTTTGCTGAGCACACGTGGCCAGAGGAGTGCTGCATGTGGGCAAGGCACCACACTCCAAGCTTGGGGACCCAGCCTTGGGGCTGAGATGAGTGGGGCTCTGTCCATGCCATGATGGGATGCATCATGTCCCACAGCCCCATCCTTGCGATGTTAGCACACCTCGTGTGGAATTTGCCACCAGAGGGAGACCCTATTGTTTCACAAACATGTACCAGCAGCTGGCCAGGCAGCCTCCACTTTCACAGCCAGGAATAGGCAGAAACACAGAGCATACTCTCAGCTGCAGCACAAACCTGCTCTTCTGCAGGTATTTAGGGTTGAGCTGTCACTAAGTACTGCCGTGACAATCCATGGGATGCTGCTCAAAGGCGGTCAGGCACGGGGAGCAGAATGAGGTGTGCTGCGTAACAGCAGAGTGGCTTTCATGCAGTCAAATGTCTGGTTTCTGTTCTTTTCTTGACTGTTTGACTGTCAGTAGCCTTTACTAAAAATGCAATTTTAACTATGATTAGGGAAAGGACTTTCTCATTAAAAAAAAACACTTTTGGGGGGGATCATTTCAGACAGTAGATTTAACTCAGGTCTTTGGAAGCTGTAGCTGTCTTCCTTTCCCCACCGTGATTTGCTGTGAGAGAGGAGGTTTCACAAGGAAGCTGTGGCTCTGTTATCCATCCTGACCAACGCTATCGCCGAGCTGGATGGGCTTCGTTTGGGATCAGCTGCCTGTGTGCATTCATAGACACACACAGATCTGCAGCTGCTCACCTCAAAGCCCGTCCCCACCCCATTTCCCGGCCTGGCAGCATTTCTGGTGCAGGCAGAGCAACTGAAAAGCAAGAACTGGTGGCTTGTCCCCATGCAGATCTGCTGCCGCCTGTTGAGTCAGGTTGAGGACATCACAACTAGGTGTCCCCAGTGGGGAGGGTTAAGAATAAACCTTGCCGAGTGAGAAAACACTCTTGGAAGCTGTGTCCCCCCAGGAGCAAGCCCCATGCTCCCCCCTCACCTGCTGCAAGAATGTGAGCCTTGTGACACGGGCTGCGTCTTGTTGGCTGTACAAACACCCAGATCAGCCCAGCCCAGTGAAGGGGGCACAACTGGACTTGGTCTGAGCAGAGGCTTCTGGATGACTAATGCATTTAAGAGTGCAAAACAGAGGTCCTGGTGCAGGTGCTAGCAATGGTCCAGCAGCAAGAGATGCTACTGAGATTACTGGGCGCTTCCAGTTAGAAACTTAGACATTTCCAGTTGAAAATGGGCATGTCTTTCTCCAGTTAGAGGTCCAGGATGTTTGGAGATCAAACCATGGTCTGAACATCCAAACTGAGGAGGGGAAAGCCACCCCTGCCCAGTGCTCAGCCTTTCCTTCCTGTGTCTGGAGGTAAATCGGACTGATCCCAATGCAGATGGCATGAAAGGGTAGCTTAGAGGGTCTGGGGGGAACTTAACAGGGGGTGGAGAAGGACTGGAAGTTGCTGGAGGTAGATAATTCACACCTTGAAACCTCCCCAGAGCTATAGCTAATACAGAATTTTCTCATCTTGCAAGGATGAAGACCTACTGAAGTTGAGAGGATGGCTAGTTGCCTCACTTGCTCCGTAATAAGAGAAGGGAAGAAGATGACATTTTTGACTGTCAAAAGAGGGCTGTGGCCAGCAGCCATTCTGAAGCAGCTCTGCCTGGCTTCAGTCTGGAAATCAGACTCTGTGCATATGCAGGTCAGTTCTCCAGTGAAAGAACAACCTCCAAAGTGCCTAGTGTATTGTTGATGTGTTGGGCTTTTTGCAGCCTGATGCTGGCCAGGAGCTCCCTGGCACCCCCTGAGCCAGCACTGAAGGGCAATCACTCCTCTGTCGGCCAGTGTGCAGAGTTTGTCTGCAAGACTGCTGAACAGCAAGGTGTTATTCTGCCTTTTGGTGAAGTCCTGCCTTTAGGCCAGTGGCCATGTGGAGAATCCTCAGGGGAACTCCATGTCCACCCCATGCACTTTGCTTAATCCATTCTCCATCAAAGAAAAATGCTGGGAGCAAAGACCCCACATAAATTCCAAAATAAAATCAGTCTCTTAAGCAGGGCAACATGAAGTGCTGTTCTTGCCTCTCCATGATCCAGACTCACAGCAAATTCCTCTCTGCGCATGCAGACTGACATAATCCAGATAAAATTGGACTTGATTGGAGCAGAACTTTTTGAGTTTATCAGAACAAAGCTAGAGGGTGGAAACAATCCACTCTGACACTTTTTCAGCGACAGTTTTGTCAAAATCAATACCATCCCTTGGAAAATGTCAATTTTGATGAAATGGCGTTTTCTGACAGAAAAAAATGAGGTTGAAACTGTTTCCATCAGTTCTACCTGCCCCATATATCTTTAGCACTGTTTTTGAGAGCACGGAGCAGGATGGAGAACATTACAGACCTCGTTCAAAGACCTGCACTTTGTTACTGGAGACTCGCTGGTGGAATACATATTTATTTTCTTTTAGCATGTTAAGAATGATAAAGATTTAAAACCATTGCTCTGGTTAGAAAGAAGCCATGCCATGGAAGTGGGGCTTGCAGATGTTTGGCATAAGTACAGGCTGTGGCTGTTCTCACAAGGTCTGCCTCCCCATCGCCCGATGCTTTGGACTGTCCTCTGCTGCTCCAGACAAGGTCCCCGCACGTCCCACCTTAATCCGGTGTCAGCATGGGGAGCAGCCTGGAACAGGAGCTGGCTGGAGGAGAGGTGGTGCCCTCAGAGATCAAGTGATGCTGATGTTAGTCCAAGAAGAATAGATCCCCTTCATCCTGTGTAACCCCAGGTGTCCCATGTCTGTGCTAGCGAGCCCAGGTCACCAGCAGCAGGTGACAGTCAGACTTTTGCTTGTTGTTAAGAGCCAAATATTGATGGGCCTAGAGATCCATCTGCCTCCCTGCTCTGGCTCTGACCACAGCAATGGTGTGTATAAAGGATATTTATGGCGGAATAAAGTATATAAAGGATATTTCTGCACACATACATACACACAGATATACTTACATGCATATATATACATATACACATATATACATATATGGACACTAAAATGAATGCATCTTGGACAGTCTGTACTCCAGTCCTGAACCAAATAAATAAATAATATACACATATATACATATATGTGTATACATATATCTAGACACATGCATATATATACATATATGTGTATATACACATATATCTACAAATACACATACACACACATATATACACATATGCACACAGATCCAGTCCCTGCCTATGCCAGCTTGTGACAATTCCTGTGCTTGACTCTGTGCACTTTGGGTCTTCCTGTTACACCAGCAGGAAAACACAGATGATCTTGGGAAATAACCAAAGAAGAGAAACTTTAGACTGATGATATATAATTGCGAAAACTGTTATTTTTCTAGACTGTAACTTCTTTTGCTTATGAGGAATTTTGTTAAGGCACCTTCTCTGCAGCATTCTGTTTGGGTTTTTGTGTGTGTGTGTGTGTGCGACCGTGTTAATAACTCACCCTGGAAGGCCATGGACACCTGGTTAAGGAGTGGTGTTGGAGATCACACTGGCCAAAGATCTGGCCCTCAGACAGGGGTCAGTTTTCAGTAAAAACTAGTTAACTTTGAAAACAGCCACCAGCATACAGTTTTCAAAATTGTACTGGTTCAAATGTTTGGGGTTCTTTGTAACTAAATCCTCACCCTCTAGAGCATTTACAGGTGAACACACAAGAACAAGTGCCCAGCTCTCACTGGCTCACAACAGAAGCTGAAAACCAAACCATCATTTGAAAATTTATAAACCTTCCCACAATTGCTGAAGTAGGTTTTGAAAAATGGGAATTTGATTCCCAAATCACTCAGGCACTTCATAACATTTCCTCTTGATAAATAAAATTTTGGGCACTCAGTTTGTTTGGTTTAGGTGGGGGACCAGATTGGACCCAGCCTTGCCCACCAGTAGATTGCCACTGATGCCAACTGCTGCAGAGACCCTCCTCGTAACCCTTCTTGGCTGCTCACAGTCCATGGCCAAAGCAGAAAACATCCCAGCTCAGGTCCTCATTTCGCAGCTTGAGATGCCCAATAACTGTCCAAAGCCAAATGAGTCTTCTAGAAGAGACATTGAATTATTGAGAGGGTACTGAGGTTAGGAGCCACCAGGGTAATGATTAACTCTTACACTGCCAATACTTCCTGGGGAAGCATCCAGATCTTGTAGGTCTCTGGGCAGAGTAGGAACTCAGCAGGGTAAATAAAATAAAATGGATACTAAAATGATTGCATCACGGGCAGCCTGAACCAAATGAATAAATCAGTTTATCCTCCCAAGGAAGCCTGTGTGCTGGCAATTTTCATCCTCCTCCCAGGCAGTTCTCTCTCCCATCCCTTTAGTTTGTGAGCTCAGCTAGAATGCAGCCAGACCACAGGTAAAGCCCTGCTGGCACGTGTAGCCATGCCTCACAATCTCCAGAGCTTTCTACTCATCAGCTTCTCACTTCCTCACCTCCCTGCGCTGTAACGAGGCTATGGCAGATGTGTTTCCCATGCCAGGGGCTATCCCAACATATCCCTGCCCTGACAGTCACCCAGTCTCATTTGAATTGCCTTAATTAACAGCAAATATATTTGACAGAGGGAGAACCCAAACATGTGAGGTGATGAAATCTAGACGTGTCTCAGACAAGCGTTGCTAAAAACGCTGATAGTCAGGGACGAGCTTTACACTACCCAGGCTGGGTTACAGCCCCTAAAAGCTCATGCCTCTGAAACCTGGCCTCCACTGTTGGATTCCTCTTCCTTGGGCTGTCCATCTCCCTGGCAGCTCCGGTTACAAACCCACCTCCCGTGTGCCTGTGCTGGCTGCTCTGTGCCAGAAAGCCAATGCCTTCACGTACCGAGCAGGATCTCTGCCTCACTTCAGGCAATCCAATTTTGGCATCCCTGCTTCAGCATTCCCAAGGTAGTTGTTTTTGATAAGGGATTTGTCTTGGACAGATATCTTGAATGGCTTTGAAGAGTTACAGCCGCCTTAAGCTGTTTCTCTAACTGCCACTCTAGAAAGTCCTCTCTGTTTTTTCTCCTGGCCCATGACAAGAAGCACCAACAACACATACATGTAGATTCTGGTTGTGAAGCAGCATCTGCTGCCGCGTGCAGTGGATTTAACCTCCTGTCTGTCCCCTGCCACAGTTGCTCCTGCCACTCCAGGTCTCAGCAGCAGGACCAGGCTCTTCTTCAGAGCTTTGCATAGCAGCAGTACACTAGCCAACGCTTTATCACCTCAGCTCCTTGGAGAAGCCAAAATGCAGCTTCCTCATTACTTCTGAGCAAGCTCAGAAGAGAGCTCTGAGTGAAAACCTAGCCTCTTTGGATGCCAATGGGAATATTGGCATTAGCTTGAGGAAATCCAGAGTTTTCCCAAGAAACTGTGGTAGTGCCTGTCACCCCAAGGAGATCCTTCACCTGGTGCCTGCTTGCTGAGTTCTGTCCTTCCCTGTGGGGCAGAAATCTCCAGAGCCCTCAGCTCTGCTGATATAGCTCCTATACGGAGCGACACAGCATATTGCTGGACCAGATGTGTTACCCAGAGAGTTCCAAAGGTGACCGCGATAATCTCTGCAGTTGTAATTCTGCTCATGTAAGCCCCAGCTAACATCGGCACCTAGTACAGCTGCAATATTTATGTTGCTTACTTGGTATCCAAGACATCCGGCCTGATAGTGAGAGGCTGGAGAACAGGCTTTTATTTCCTGGAGGTGCTGAGAGACATTTATAATACGAAGCTTTAGAGAGAAGGTAGCTACTAGCATCAAGAGTCAGTCTGTGGTGTGTGGAGGTCAGCAATCACCTGGGCTCAAACCAAGCATGGCTACAAATCCACCATGTGCATTAGCCTTTATCTGAACACTGTAGTTATGGGATCTGAAAGATTTTTGTAGGCTTTTTTTCCTTTGCTGCAGGGCCTCTGGGACTGTGTACACACCGTGCGCAAATCTGAGTTCTGCCTGCTGCGGACAACTAGAGAAAACATTATTTCCTCACTGGATTCCAGGGTGAAGATGCAAACCACTCTTTTCTTCATGATTCCCCAAACATATAAGCCCCAAACCTTGCTACAGCAGTGAGATACTCACGGAGGTGATCCAGGGCTGCATTGCCCTGTTGCAAGGGCACAACCTTGGGGCCGAGGCAGCATTCCTGCAGGAAGTGAGTTATGAAGATTGCACTCGATAAGAAGGTGTTTTCCAGAAAAGTGTTTATAATTTTGTATTTCATTCTATCTTTTTGGATCCTTCCTTCCCCAAATTGATTGATTCAGGAGAAGATCTAAAAGGGAGCAGCAGTGTCAGAATTTTGACAAAGGCTCCCCTCAATAATTTGTAGAAAGCTGGTGACGATAAATTGAAGGAAGAAATTTCCTGAGCCCTAAGTATAGCATTACTCAGCCACCAAGGAGCACTGTGGTTTTTGGTCTCCTTTCAGAAGCATTGTGTGTCAATGGATTTTGGAACAAGTTGGGGAAGGAAGATCAATGACTTGAGCAAAGATGGCAAGTCTTCTGTTTCTTGACTTGATACTACAGATATGAATGTAATATTTCCCTTGGGGAAAAATATCCCCTCCCTCCTACCCCCCATCCTGCAGTATAAATACGAAAGTATTTTTTATCATAAAGTTATATTAACCTGGCAAAGATGACAAAAGCTTTCACTGAAGCTCTCCCAGAGATAGCACTGTTTTGGCATAAGGTTCTCAGAAAGTGATGTCATCTTGAATTTATATGCCAGAGTTTTCCCTTTCTTCTTCAGATTTGTGGCAATGTCAAAGTTCTTCTCTAGAGCAGATCTGGTTTTAATATTTCATATTTACGTTTTTCATTTTGGGGCTGGCTGAAACATCTTTTGGTTTCAACCTTGCAGATGCTTACACACATGCAAAGCCCTAAACTCTTAAAGAGTTTCTTGAAGAACTGAGGGGCTAATAGAGATTACTTCTAAATATACATAGGACTAAAATTTTTTTTAAACATGAAGATTGCAGAAATCCATGCAGCTCCAGTGAGACAGTGAGGATGCATCTCTTCTCATGAGCATAAGATCTAACAGCAGGTACTTTAATTTTATTATAAAGAATGTTTCTGACAAAGGTCTGACAGATTTCCCTTCATGGTTGGTAAAAGCCAGCAAGAAAAGAGCAAGAAGGTGTTACTTATCATGTAAAATTTCACATAGTCTTTAGAGGAAGATGAAAACAAGGCTCCATGGTTGCTATAAACTACAAAGCAGGTCTGCTCTGAGCACAAGGGTGGATTTGGAGGGTCAGAAAGCAGATCCACCTGGGCAGTCCTCACAGGCGAGTGCAGGAGAAGGTTCAAGGAGCACCCTGTACCTCAGATTGCCATTAAAAAATGCCCTTAAGAGCTGTGCTGTTCCCTGCCCACTCTCCCCATAAGACCAAGGCAGGGCTTTGTGTCTGTGTGCCATTGCCAAGTGCAGCACACAGCAGCCAAGCCCTGCCCGCCTGTGTCCTTGGTGATGCTAATTTGGGTCAGGCTCAGCCACCGGGCAGCTGGTTTTCATGACAGGTGTGAAAAAGGAGATCTCCCTGAGACCACTTGCTCAGGCAAAAGGGACTGTGATAGACAGAAGGTCTTCGCACAAGGAAGGGGATGTGGGAGGGATTGATGGGCAGGGTTGGTTTTGTAAGCCTTGGGGAGTGGCCTTAAAATAGTCCCTGCTTATTTCTTAGGAGCTGTAATTGCCTCTGCTCTGACCCAGTGCTGTTTCTGTGCCCCTTCCCACAGGGAAGACCTCGCTTTGCCAAAAAGGAGATCTGGCCAGCTGATCCCAGCTGCGGTGGCCTTGGATGGACCTGCCAAACCTCATGCACTTACATAAAGTCCCAGGGCCACTCCTGGGGTGTGCAACACCCAAGGGCCAGCCACGGTCTGTCAGGCTCTGATTGCACCCATGCTCTGTGGGGTGGTACCTGCCAGAAGAGGACTACCATTTGCTGTAGCCTTCTTCTGATCCCACTTGACCCCCAGAAGACAGCAGGTTTGTGGAGATGTGCAGGGCTTGGATCCAGAACTCCCTGTGTCGCAAGAAGTGAACCCAGCTTCTCACACTCCTTGGGCTGCAGTTTCTGCTGGCCCCTGGGGACTCACCCATGGGAGAAAATAACTGGGCGCACAATATAAAACAGGGTGTGACCCAGGCAACTGTGGACAGTCTTGGTTGCAGTTGTGTTGTGCCATGAACCCCCATCCTTTTTCTGCAGAAACACTACCAAGAGAGTGGGGTATTTGTCTTTTTTCCTCTCTGGGTTGCCAAAGAGTCATATTTTAAAGTCAGAAATACTTGTCAGCATCCTAGTATGACCCCCAGAACCAGTGACACAAATATGACGAGAAATTAGGTCAGATTACAAGTGGGGCCACTTCAAAACCTCTCCTGGAAAACCAGAGTTTTGAGGAAAATGAAATATGCTGAAAAAACCCCGCCACCCAACAAACTGCTTCATATTCTTCTTGAAAGTGAGAATAAAATATGCTCTGTCAGGAACTTGATCTTCTCCTTGCTTTTGGCAGGGGAGTGGCATGTATCCTGCCTGTGTGCATCCTCATGCATGCCTATCACTTTTCGTAGTCACCAGTGGAGTCAATTAGTGACCTCCAAAGTCAACGAGCACAAGCCACTTCTCTCAAAGCCAAGCTGTACACCTGGAGTCTGCAGCAGAGATTCCTGTGTCTGCGTAGGCTTGCAGAGGCACTTAGGGTTTGGCAATACGTACATGAGGACTTCCCAACCTGGGTCCTGGGTGGCAGGATGTCCTAGAGATCCCCAGTGAGTCTGAACATGAAGGTAGGAAACTGCTAACAGTAGCCACCTGTGTGTCCATGAAAGGATGGTCTTACGAGAGGGTTGCTGAATTTCATCTGCCATTTTACTGCTGGGTTGTTCCCAAGATCCTTCCGTGGTGCTTTGCCCAGGCATTTGTTTTTGCATTTGCAGGGTAGCTCTGCACAGACCCTGCCATGCCAGCTTGGGCAACGCAATTAGGCCAACCAGGGACAGAAGAGGACAAGGAAGAGTAAACATGGTGTAACGGAAACAGCCTGGGAGGGCAAAGCACTCTTCCAAGCCCTCATCTGAAAAACACGTTCACGAGGATGGCTGCGTGGGAAAAAACCTTGCATTGTGAAGACATTAGTCAGTGAGCGTTTGATGAACTTTGGTTCCTGCTGCTGAAGCTCCTCAGAGGGGACCTGCAGGCAGGTCTGCTGATGGCTTCACCCAGAGGCTGTACAGCTGGCTTGAGCTCCTAGGACTCATGTTTTCACTGCGGAAACATGTGTAGGTGCTATAAACACTATACAGCGAGCCAACAGGCTGTGGCTCGACTGCACTGCTCAGTGAGGAGAAGGGCCTCACTCGCCTTTCCGCAGCACCCAAGGTGTGTCTCCATCCTCGGAGAGACCCTCCGGTGCAGGCGAGGTAGCCCGGTCAGCCTTCCCTTCTCTGCAGCAAGAACAGAAAAAGGTCCCAGAGCCAGAGTTGTCAAATTTCATCTGACTCTGGGACTGAATTTCATCTCATCTCCGAAGCAATAACAAAACATCATTTTTATGAAAAGTTGTCAAGAATCTAATTGTTTTGCAAACACTACAGATACCTCTTCCATTTCAAGGAACAAGTGGGGTTGCTTTTGGTTTTGGAAGGATTGAGTAAGCATGAAGATTTCCAAACTTGCTCAGATACAAAACACTATTGTTATATGGTACAGTGAAACAGCTGTGGTTTATAAGTACCATTAATGTGAAACTTTAACTTAAAAAAAACCCCAACCCTAAAAAAAGTTAAAGGAACAGAAAACATTTCATCCATACTAATGTGAGGTTTTAAACATATAGGCTTTTAAGTGAATTGGCCATAACCACAACAATATTTTGGGTCTGACCAGAGCATATATTGTATGCAGATGTTAATTTGGCATTTGCATGCATACACAAAGAAAAAAAATCTTTTCTACATGTTTTTTTTCTTGAAAGCATTGCGATCTGGAGTCACTTTAGCTTTACAAACTGATTATAAACACTAATTACCTGAAAACATGCTGTTTGGCTTAATACGTGGCCTGTAGACTTAGGTTCTGCTTTATAAAAATGCAGAGTTTAGCCAGCATGTTCACCCCTCTATATATAGATACAAACATTTATAAAAGCAGAATGTTCTGATTTGTACAAAATCCAAATTCCTCTGTTAACCCTCTCGCTCCCATTTGTAAGCATTATGTGTCAGGTGAGGCTATAATAGTTTGGGGGGAGCATTACATGTGTTTATGTGCTTTCTCTGTCTGTGGAGGTGCTGGCTGCATTGGAGGTGTCAGGTCTGTGTGATGAGAGTGTCAGTGCTCTGCTTGCACATACGGCACCCCTGCTACAAAGGCTGCTCAGTAAACATATGGAGAAAATGCTGATCTCTATCAATACAGTCATCAAGAGAGCTGATGGTTTCTGAAAGGAGGTACCAAAGTCAGGCAAACGAGTTTCCCACCTGATTTTCCAGTGATGGTTTCAGAGGCATTTTTGAGGTCAATTATTCTGAAAAGACAGAGTACTCAGGGGAGCAAACTCTGTATGGGAAAAGGCAGAGCCCACAATTGGGACTTGGCTGTCCTGGTGTTCTGACCCTCAGGAGGTTATGAAGAGGGGCTCCAGCACCGAGCATCTTGAGTGTTGCTTCAGCCGTATTGGTATCTCCTTGGCCCAAAATGAGGAATACTGGGGCCAGACCTTCCCCCAAAAGCTGTCACTACCTTCTTTCTCATTCTTTCTGCTCCACAGACTGAGGTGGGATGGAGGTCCTGAAGGCCACCTTCTCTGACAGCTCTCTGCTGTCCCACCAACATTACTTGCAACTATCCCGAGGATGTGAAGGCCGTGGATGGAATAAAACATATATTGTTCTGCACTCTGAAAGAAATTATATTTGTGGAGCACACTGCTGCTCAGGATGGAGGTCTTCGACCTTGGGAAATGTGGAGTGAATTAAACAGTGGTAGCCAGTTTCAGGGTAAAATGAAGAAAAATTAAAAGAGGCAATGTTAGGGGGGAAAAAGCCTTATTCTTCTAACTGAATCTTATATTTTCACTGGCATTAATACCCAATTAAAGCAAGCCTTACATTCAACTGGCCATTTCAGTATTTACCTTTGTTGTCTCTTTCCAAAGGTGAATCCTCATCCCAGCTTTAGCTTTTGCCCTCCATAAATATCTCCTCCCTAGAAGCTGATAGCTGGTGATTAAACGAGCCTATTTGCACTCTCTTAGTTTAAATGACAGCTATTCCTACACTAAAAAAAAATTGGTAAAATTGCATGGTAATGTGGAAAACGTCACTGACTTAGGAGAACAACTCAAGGACCTCTCTCCGTGCATGGCAGGAAGTTTGCTTGGCTGTTGCCTGGGCCCTACAAGTCACTGGTGAAAGGAGCTGGCTGTGCCAGTGCTGGCAGCGCCGAGCTCCCCAGGCAGGAGGCAGCTGGGCGGGTGGCAGGCCGAGGCAAGCTGTGGTCAGTGCCTTTGGAGCCCCTCATTGCACAGCCACCCAAACCCACGGGAGGACAGGAGCCGTGCAGGTCTGCCACCAGCTGAGCAGAAGAAATGAAGCTGGCAGCTGAAGCTTTTATAGCCGTGTGTCCTCTGGCGCTGTTTTGTTAATAGAGTTATGCTTTGCAGTTAGGGCTGCAGTCTCAAAGGGGAGGGAGAATACAGATCTAAGCAGGACAGACCCACTGCGCTGCTCCTGACACCTACCATCAGAGCTCAGCCTCCAGATACTCATCACAGCCCGGCTCTAGCCCTCCGCCGAGTCAACGGGCAGCTTCCCAGGTGAGCTCAGGGGGGTGTGGAGCAAGCCTCACTTAACTCTTCATTTAGTCTTCTCCCCATTTATTTTCCATGTTTGAAATTCCAGAGAGGCTCAGGCTATTTACACTTTCAGCAAGGCAAGCTGAGGTGCTCTCTTGCTGCAGAGCGTGCTGGGGAGGGTTTGGAGGTGCCACGAGCTCCCATCGGGCTCGCTTGCCATCACCTTGAAAGCACGAAAGGCATTTTTGGTTGTTTCGAATTTTCATCTTCTGAGTATTTTTCTTGTTAGTTCATGCTCGGCTTTCATTCATCTATAGGGAATAGCGCCGCAGTAACATGATACATAGCAAATATCACCATTTAAACAGAACCAATCCATTGTGAATGAAGACTTCTGCGAAGAATAGGAAAATAGAGCTAAAGGGCTGCTAAGTAAACTCTTTTATGTGTGACATTATGCAGGCAATGGTTTTGGAGTGTAAAAGATATTTTTCATTATATCAGTGTTATTAATTCCATCAGCTTGAACCGGATTGGTACATGAAATGGCTGTGTGTTTCCCAGGTTAATAAATCTGCATAGGTTTATTGTTCAGAATAAAACCTATTTTCCTCAGCAAATAACCATGATCATTTGGGGTTACAACCATTCCTCAGGAAATGCTTTATAACTAACATTTTTATTGGTATCATAGGAAATTCATATGCCAAATAACATGGGACTATAACTTTTATCTGACTTTAAAACAAAATCTGTTATCTTTTATGGCCAGTTTCATATAGTCCCACTATCAGTTTCCATAAAATTCAACAAGCATTCCTTATTCAGCCTGGAAAATCAATAACAGAGTTGGTTGAAAAGTGAAAATGTCTTTTTTTGCAAACATTTTTGAAATTTCTGAGTTGCTTCCATTTGAAAGCATTTGCAACCAACTGGTTCATGACAGAGAAAAAACCCTCTAATGCTCTTGATAACGTTTTCTGTTATATTTCTGAAAAACATAAAGAGCGTACATTTCTGAGGATGAGATGAATGTTTTTCACAATATTATCAACTTCAATAGGTGATTCTGTTCTTGTGAAAGGTCTATTTTCCATATTAAAACCTCAAATTAAAACCATTTTCACCAGTGGTCATGTTCCAGACCAAATCCATAAACCTCCACTTAATTAGCATATCAGTTCATTAAATTGATCCCTATTGATTAGATGATGGTGGATCAAAAGTACTACTGACCGTGAAAAAGAGCTGTGATCACCAAGTAGGGGGGTTTTGTGGCAGGCTTCAGCCTTTGCTCTCCTTTGGTGCAGGTTTCCTACATGACTTTGTTGCTTTTGGGGGGTATTTTTGCAAAATAATAATTCCCTTTTGCCTGCTGATGATGTGGGTTTGAACCAGAGGAGTGACACCACAAAATGGCAAAATTTACTACACAGTTTAAAATTCATAGGTGAGTTGTAGTATTTGCTCCCTATCTTTTCTCTCAACCCCCAGGCTTTTGGGACAGAGACAGCCTAATATCACATTTCCATGCAGCACCAACCACCACAGGGATCTCTGTCTCATTTGGAGTAATTTACGCATCTGCATTAGACAATCATTCATTAAACCACAACATAAATAAAGTCGTAACAGGCATGGGGAGAGCCCATGAGCTCATTAGGCTGGTGGAAGTTTCTGCCGTTGACCTCCATGAAGCCAGGATTTTACCCAGCGGTCTGGTTTTTTAAAGTCTTCACGAGTTGGTCAGGATCGGATACAATGGACAATTAAAAGAAAAGAATTACAAAATTTTAATTTTAATTTGGTAGTGCCGTTGCAAGGCCTATTGCAATTATATTGCCATGCCTTTGCACAGCCAGAGTCTGGGCCAGCGCCCGCCAGAGTGAATGGAAATGTCCCCTTGGGATGCGGGTGAGGCATTTAAGCTTCGTGTTTGTTTTTTCAGGCAGTGTTTCAGTAAATGCTTTACAAAATAAGGCTCTGGGGGAGACACCCACAAACCTCCCATCGTCAATGAAAAGTCATCTCTGCGTTTGAATGGGAGGGCAGCTCCTCTCAAACTATCTGAGATGCCAGCAATGCTACAGGGAGAGGCTTTCTCCAAAAGGGGTCATATACTTAGCAGGGGAAAAAAAAAAACCCTCCTATTGATGGAAATAAGGTTTATTTGTAAGAAAGATTAATAGTTAATACAGTTTATCCTCAAAAGGTCACTATAACCTCACGAACATCCTGCAAATCTTCTGACTCATTGCTGAATTGCATCTATTGTAAATGACGTTTTAAATATTTCACAGAAAGTATTATGCCTCTTATGCAGAGAGACGAGTTGGGGGTTTTTTGAATTGTAAAAAAAACCCCAATTTCTTCAGCCAGGAATATGATTTACAGAGTGACAAAGTTAAACCCATGATATATGTGAAATAGGTAATTGATAAATCATAAAACAGGTTGAGTAGAAGATGGAAAAATACTTAAGCTGGATGAATTCTACTGAATTAAACCAGGCCATTAAATTGCCTAGCATCCTGCTTAATAAAACTGATATGCTGTTTTATGCTGGACATTTGCAATGGTAGATGGCTTCGCAGAGCAGAATGCATTTCATCTGCTGGAAAATGTGACTCAAGGTGTAATTACAATTTTGATCTAAGATCTGCAGACTTTTGTGAAGATAGGTACTGAAACGCTGAATCCTCTGCCTGCAGGTAAGTGAAGTATCCAAAGCTCAGTGCCTGCTACCGGGTACCTTGCCTGGCTGGGCACGGAGCCCCGGGATATAGGTGATGCTGCACTTTAGGATAAGAGGTTGTAATAGAGTAGTCACAACCTGCACTTTTCACCCCACCAGTTGAACCCAGACTCTCTTGCACACGCACAAAATGACACGGCAATTAAGGCAAAAAAAAAAAGAGAGGCTGTTATTTCTGGGGAAATTACACAACTGAGCCCCATCCACGGGGGAAAAAAAACCCAAACAAAACAGCTGCCATCATGAAAGACAAAAAAAGAGCTGCTGCACTGTGACTGCTCAAGTTGTGACTAGCTGTCTTCTGGCTCATTCAGGCCTCTGGGCAGCTTGCCCTGGAGGATGCCAGGGCTGCCTTGGCCCCTGCACTGGGGACACCGGCACCGTGAAAGGGCTGCCTCCCCCTGCCTGGACAGCTGGCAGGGATGATTAAGGTTGAGAGCAGGGATGCAGAGGAGAAGGAATTGCAGGAGATACGGCAGCTCCTGCAGCAGATCCAAAGGGTCCTTCTGCAGCTCTGCCTCCTCGTCCTGCAGCAGAGTGCAGCTGGGATGGGATCCCCAGCAGCAGGACACCTGAATAATCCTCAGTGTGTGCAGGGAAGCTCTGTGTGAGGTGGGTTTGGGACAGATACTGATGCAATAGCTTTTTCAGACAGCCAAAACATGCCCACCAACACCAACTATTCCATGACAGTGTGAGACGAAATTCCATCACTGCTGGCGAACCCACCCATCCCATCTATTCATGACTAGTTCTTCTCTGCTCTGGTGCTGTGGCAACCAAGGGAGAATGGGCAGATGCCGTAAATAAGCAGAGACCGAGAATGTGATGCCGATGATCACATTTTACATAAGCAGCAAATAACTTTGCAGCTAACTAGTAAATGAATTCCAGCTAACCTCTTATCATCAACTGGGAACTTTGCTGGCATATACTAGTCAGCCAGGATTAACATGCCCATCTGCTTGTGGAAGAAATCGATCCATAAATATTGGCAAACAACCAATTTCCAGTTGAATTAAGTGATATAATCTTATATTGATATATTTTTTTCCATAATGTTTGATATAGATTGTTATAAGCACTACCAGTATTAGGCTAAACTGGTACATTACTACCTATTTACTTCCCACTTTGAAGGAAAAATATTGGCACATATCCAGAAAAGTGGGGAAATGTTTCATAAAGCTCCCTGAGTGCAGGTATTTTCTGAGGAGCAAAATTTCTTTAGTGGGATTGACCATGTGTGTTGGAGTGTGAGACATAGCACCCACCACCCACCAGCCTTGTGTCAAATTCCCGACAGGTGTGTAACGAGAGTTGAAGGTAATTAAAGCTTTTCTGTCTGTTCTTAGTTGATGACCAGAGAGAAGCCAAGTCACGGAGACACTCAGCACCTGGAAGGAGCCAGGTATCCTGATAATTTGTTAAAAGACCCTTTAAACCAACACCCGGCAGCTCCATGGGAAATGCTAATAACAACTGTTGGTACAGACACGGGGTTCGTTATCTCCTCGGGGTTAAATTACCCCATTCATTCATGCCTTGGAGGACAATGAGCATGCCAGGCAGCCCCAGAGTAAATCCTCTGACCCAGCCCTACCTGCAGTGACACCGGGGCGAAGGAGGACTTTTAGGAGGGTATCAGTTTCCACAGTAAACTTTCCCAGCCGCCGGGAGTGGAGGAATTGCACTTCTGCCTGGGTGGGGAGTGAAGGAGCCTCATGTGTCGCTTCAGCAGGCAGCTGAGAGAGCTCCCAAGCCCCTCCACAGCACCTGGGGTGTGAGACGGAGCATCGCTGTTTCGTGGTGCCAGAGTTAACTTGCAATTGTTGCTCTTTCATTACAAATCCCATCTGGAGTCATAAAATCAAAGCTTGCTGTGTTGCACCAGGTGAGGCTGGAGAGATGTGTGGTCCCATGGGACTAGGTAGGCTAATGGACACCTATGCCAGCCAGGCTAGACTTTTCTTCTGCATTTGTACGGCCAAAGGGACTGGCCTGACCCCTAAATTGGGTTTCTCACACATGTTCAGCCTGGTAATGCCCAGAGAAAGGGTTAGTCGGACCAGGCATGTGAGACGTGGAAAACGCAAGTTCAGAGCTGTGGGGGATGGCTGCTGGCAGCATTGTGCTTGCTTTCCTCAAAGCAAGCATGACTTCTACTCTTTTTTATCTCAGCTATTGTCTCTCCCCATTGTCCAAACACATTTCTTACCAGCTGGCAATTTTTTAAGTGTGTGCTGTAACACCCAGCTGTAGCCCATGCCACTGGGATGGCATGGGATAACCGGCTTAAATAAACTCTGCTCGCTCAGAATGGAGCAACTGGCCAATTTCTAATAAGTGCAGGCATTGAAGAGGAGAAAGCAGCAAAGAGAGGATCACCTTCAGAAATGTATTTAAGTAGCAAACACCACCAAAATCAGCACTGACTTTAGATGAC